ATCGATAAGGGTACTTCGCATGCGACAAATGTCAACCGAAAGCATTGTCATTCACAGCCAAAACCTTGACCGTCGGTGAAACGACAGCACGCACAAGAACATAAGGGCCCAGGCAGGAAAGTCCACCTGAGATAAAGAGAGCCGGGCTGCGTCTACCGTGCATGGCTTCTTCTGCAGGTACCCGGGAGACGCGCTCTGGCGGCGTCTCGTTTCAGGATCCCGACCAAACTACACTTCAATATTCTCCGCACTTATTCCACTTATTCTAGTGGCACTGTCTACGGTGCGCGGCCAATGGCTGGCACGCGTGCCATGCTGGCACGCGTGCCAGGGGTTGCCGACCCTCGGTGTATGGATCAATATACAAGACAATGTAATCACAGTTTACTGAACTTCCTCGATGTTGAAATTGAATTAGTCGTTGTTAGCTGTACGAACTCCCCTGCAAAACAGTTTTTGCACGTAGACTCTCCTTTTCTGGCTCAGTCATGCCTCTCAGTGTCAGTGGAGACTTTTAAAATGCATCAGGGACAATATGACTTCTTCTCACAGAGTGTAACATTTTCAAGGGAGAACGAAGCTGTGTTCCAGCTGACTGGTCTTCATGCCCAAAAGCAGAATACAGAGTGAACGATGTATGACCATCAGCTCTGGGTTATATTCAAACTGGCTTTGCACATCGATCCTGATTCTGTCACTGTGTAGCGCAGAGATCAAAGAAGTGTTCAGTGCTTCCACTTGAGAAAGAAGTACCAATACAGTGATTGTCATCAATATACTTCATCACAAGTTAGGGAAGTCTGGGCGTATCAAATCTTGGAAGTAAAACAGTACAAAAAATCAGCAAATGTAATCTAAAGCAACTGGAGGAAAATGTAAACAGCATTATGCAGAAACACAGGTCGACCTATACACACATCAGCATATTCATGACGACATTAAGCAAAATGGGGAAAATTATATGATTATTAATTAATAAACGGACCTGCGCCAATATCATAGGCGCAGACAGACAACTCTGAGCTAAACTATTAATAATTGACTCTCTATGTGACCACTATAAAGAGTCATATAACTTAGGTGACCATCAAGACACGGCACATTATATTGCTAACCTACGTGAGGCAACGTCCAACAGCACAACAGCAGGAACTAAAGCGAGAGGTTTATAAAACCTATCCCCATCACAACTGAGATGCTTAGTGCAGAACTAGAGAGATACAAGAGGCATCGTACTGCATTATTTCTAAGCTGTGCTCTGCAGAGTCTAAAAGAGGAAAGAAGCTACACAGGCACCAGGCGGATTTAACTCTGAAATGAGCAGCACAAATGCTAAGTGTGTCATTCAGAATTGCTGTTAATACTGTAAGATATTATCACTTATAAACATCAACAATCAACACGAGTCCTAAGAGTCGAGCAGGAATGCCGTGAGCGAACGTGTATGTCCAAAGCAGTACCCACCACGATACAGACAGGTCTCAGCCCACACCTTGTACCAATACTTTAAAAACGTCATCGCCACCGCAACGCCAGGCACGCGATCAGCTTACGTGTGGTCCCGCCCGATCGTTAGAGATTAGGGGAGTACAGAAAAGAAGAGAGGCGACTTGGTGTCATCTGACGAGACATCGGCGTGAGTTCCCAGCAAACAGCAAAGGACACAACGGGGATGTATATGAACAGATACAAAATAAAAGGAAGCTAAGATCCGAAAGCACACACAAAGAAAAGTGCATTTGCATGACACCACGTCGTACTTGTTACCCCATTACGTGCACAGTGGCGAGCGAGAACACACTCATCTTCACTTCACACACACAGCTGTACGTTGGTAAAAGTAAGAAGTAGCTCAGCTGTACGATGAAGTAAAAGTAGAAGTATATACACGATCTCTCTTCACAAGACACGAAGTACACCGATCTTGCTTCCAGGTGAGCTAAATAATAGAAGTATACTATCCACCAACCAAGAATCATGTACTAAGTAGCACCCAAGTCAGAGATATCAGATCTTGTTCTTTGAGTAAAAGTAGAAGTACTTCAGATCTGGACTTGAGTAAAAAAGTAGAATAGCTCAGATCTGTACTTGGTAAAAGAGAAGTACTCAGATCTTGTACTTGAGGAAAGTAGAAGTACTCAGATCTTGTACTTCAGAAAAGGAAGAAGTACACGAATCTATGATACTATGAGCTCTCACTCACGACACATGTATCACGAGAACACACACGACACACACACCTATTGACCTTGAGTAAATCAGTAGAAAGTACTCAGATCTTTGTACTTCTCTATGGAGTAAAATAGTAGACAGTCCCCAAGTGACGGAATACCCACACTTCACTTAGACACAGCGTGGCTCAGTGGTACGCACTAAATCAGTCGAGATATCGCAAGTTTGAGTCCACTGGCATCAGCCGTCTTGTGTCCCTGAGGACACTTCACCCCAAATTGGTCCTGTGGGGATTGGCCACAGTACTGCATGTATGTAACGCTTTGGATAAATGGTTTAACAAATTAAATGTAAGGTAAAGTTCAAATCATACTAAAAAATAGCTGGATCTTGTGTCTTTTTTATTAGCAGAAAAAATGTAATGCTTTGTACTATATACCTATAACCCTACAATCGACGTGGACCCAGTCGACACAAAACTCAAATCCTTCCATGGGGCCCGGACAGAAAACACGACATCACACACACGACACTCATGAGTTCCCTCAGAAAACTGTGGATCTATTCTGCTGAAGAGACTCGATCTAAGAGCGTTTTTAAAGACCTTTATCACAACTGGACCTCACGCTCAACGAATATATCACGCAAGTACCGAGCATTAACCCAAATATACAAGAGCACTTATCACATCTGTTCTCAAAATACACACAAACACGAGCATTCAAGACCATTTAGTCCATTCCGTCATTTCTCTCAGTTTAATTCCACTGTCTTTGCATCTGGCTGATTCTGTGAGAACACGAACATTCTACAGGACTGTGCATTAAATGTGTAGCCTTGTCTCCAAAAGCAGGTCAGCCAGCGCAAGCTTTACAGACGAGCAAGACGAGCCGTGGGCAAGTCTCCATCCTGACAGGAGAGAGAAACATATATGGATGGAAGGTAGCACCACAATAGCCGCTAGCACCCTAATTACTAGGGGGGTGCAAACGACACGAGCATAGCAGGGAGACATCTGGATCAGTCTGTATCAGATCAGTTGCAGCCCCTTTTTAAGAGATTTGGGTATGGAGGAAAATGGAGAGGGTTGTGTTTTCTGACACTTGGTGAGTTCCCTGGAACACCGGGGACACATATTCATGTATAAAAGACGTACAAAAGTGCATTTTGCATGATAGGTCACCTTTAAGTGAACTTTAGAGATGCTGGTAGGTGATTTCCCCCCTGCTGTTTGTTTCTGTTTCGCCCTCACAACCCAGCTGCCAGTCTTTTTTCCATGCTAAAATAACCAGCTCCTGGCTTCCCATCATAATATAAACTCGTTTAAGACAGTGTATTTTTTTTAATAGCTAAACCACACAGCTTTTATTACTTTGAGTTGTAGTTATTATACCATACTTCCTTCATTTTAAACAATGTCAAATTTGGTCAATTATTTGAGCACATAAACTTAAGAAAAGGCTTAATGTCAAAGAAACATGTATAAGTGTCTGTAGTGCATAAACTACTAGACTTTGTTTCAAACAAACAAGACCCTTGTGTCATCCTTGAACCCTGCGTCTGTGATGGTTGACTGAGTCCAACACGTCCTGCATCTTTCTAATGGGGCCCAGCATGTTTATTCATTATTTACAGTTGATGCTTCAAAGGCACAGGAAACAACTAGTGAGACAAGGACAAGTTCAGGTCCGTTAGAGACCTTTAACTATAGAGAAAAGCTTCATATGGTATACAAAAAGGGAATGTTAATCTCTCTTAACATGCTAAGAGTGTTTATGTTAAGAGAGGGGCTTCCAGAAAATATAAAACCTCTGTAATCCCTCAGACTGGATAACAAATGTGTTTTATCCTACCAGACAAGATATAACCAAAACAATCTGTTGAGAAGACGTCCTTAAACTTCATCATCCTTCTCTTGTTCAATCAGGATGTGGAGCATGTCTTTTGTGTCCTTAGTAGAAGAAGTACTTTACTTATATATATTACAATATCTCACAAAGTGTGATGATCGACACTCTACTATAAGAAAAGCTATAGGGAAAGAGTAAATTCTATTCTATTCTACTATATTCCTCTATATAAATATATATTTATTATTATTAAAAAGCATTAAGCATCCCTTACTTAAGATGTGTCACCACCTGAAGTGTGTAGTGAAGTGGAGGGAGTGACTATGGGAGTGTCCTCATATTAAAGCAAACAGCTACCTTGCCTATCTTTACTTGTGCTAAAGATGCTCTGGGCCGTTAAGTGGCTGCAACTTTTGCAAAGGACTTTTTTATAACTAAGAAAAGAAGAAAAAACAACACTCAAAACCTACCTAAACAATGGGCTGTGTTCAAAGCTTCAGGGAATTGTGTGACCGTCCAAAGAATACTAATGTTCGCATCAGTCTCCCGGCAGTTTGCATTGTGTGGGAAACAGCCATGATCATCTTGTTTGGGATTTTTATTCGTTACGATGATGATTCAGATTCGCACTGGATAGATGACAGAAAGGAAACAAATAAGAGTGACATGGAGAATGAGTTCTACTTCAGATATCCAAGTAAGTGTCTTCATTTAAGTGTTTGATTCCTTCTCACTCTCTTTATATATCTTGGTAACTTGTATTTCTATTAATCTAGCAACCATTAAAACAATTCGCATCTTAATGTATACTAATATCTACATCTTATGCATCCACATTTCTCCACGTTGAACATTTGTTTTATCTTTTTAATGTTTTTTGTACATACCTGTTGACCCATCAGCATATTCCTACATAGCTGACAAGGCTCTGACACCCACAGGTGCACATCTCCATGGATGGTTGACTCCCCTCAGACTTTTTTATCTAGTTTAACAAACAAGCTAACTCTTACAACTTTATACAGATACAAAAGGTGTTTCATTTGGCCACATAAATGCGGATACAAATATGTATTTTATTTATTTCAAGCCTTGAAAATGTATTTGGATCTGTATGTTCGTGTCAAATGGGTGTTGTTTATTTCTCTCCTCTCCTGACCACCCTCGGTGTCAGTGTCAGGCTGTCATTGAGCCATCTCAGATATGGTGTTGGATGTGAGGATAAATCGACGTCCTAACACGGTATATTGTCAGTATAGACTCCTAAAGTCACGCAACCTTCCTTTACAACAAAGGGGGGGGGTGTGAACCTATTGTAGTATGAGGTGTGTCGGGCACTTACAGTATTATGATGTAAAGTTTGTAAACGATACCTGCTGGTATCCCCCAGCCACTGGTTATAGCATATACAAACTGTCTCAAAAGAAGAGACACCTTTTGCAAAAAACGTTTATATTTTTGAACAATAGATCATATCAGAAGCACATCAGAATTTCTTTTGGAAAATGTCGCACATCCCAGATTTCCTGTCCTTTCAGTGTCAGTTATCGTCAAAGTATTGTATTTAGCTTATTTTATTTCAGGTTTTCCCATTTCCTTTTAGTATGTAATATGTGTATCATCTTGCATACACCTAAATGTTTCATATATTTTATCTCTCCCTTCTGTCATCTTTGCCCCAGGTTTTCAGGATGTGCATGTGATGATTTTTGTTGGATTTGGCTTCCTGATGACATTTCTTAAGCGCTACAGCTTTGGTGCGGTGGGTTTCAACTTCCTCATTGCTGCCTTTGGCCTCCAATGGGCGCTGCTAATGCAAGGCTGGTTCGGCTCCCTGGGCCCCGATGGAAAGATCAAAATTGGAGTTGAAAGGTAATCAGTTTTATTCTCAATGAGTCAAAAGCATTCCTTTTTCTTTTGTTTTATTTTGATTAAATACAGTGACCATCTTAAGCAAATATTATTCAGCTCTATTGTTCAGAAGAAAAAACACAGAGGTAAAGCAACCAGTCTGATTGACAGGATCCCATACAGATATATCCGTGCACCCACAGCTTCAGTGTTTTTGGACTGACTTCATAGGCGTCGCGTGAGGCTCAGGTTTGGGAAGGCTAAATAACTTTTTTTACCTGACGCTGCCCGCCTCCTGCGCGTCTATAAAAAATAGATCAACTCAGTGAAAGCACCGCCTGCTGACCAATCAGAGCTCAGTGTGCGGAGTTTAAATCTATCAAGTCATTTCACAGGATAAATGAAATACAGTTTAAACTGCTGTATGCAGAGAAGACGCCGACGTGTCGCACTTTATCATTCATTATAATATCATAATATATCACATTTCCTTATCTGAGTCAGCTTCTCGAGCCGTATCTGGTCGTGCATCACCTACATTGTCTCATAGGCTACTGTATGCAGAAGTATTATTTTAAGCAACACATTAAGTTGACTAAACACTCAACTCAAATGTAATTAAAGTCAGATCCACTCGTGTCTTAGATGGGGCAGTCATGTCATAAAACTGTTGTACGCTTTCAAACACTCGGTAGTTATTTTTTAACCAGTTGTTCTATATTCACCTTGCAGGTGCAACTATGTGGCTTGTATCCTTGATTATATGTTTAAATCATGGATGTTTAAAGTTCATATTTGTCTAATATTAGTTACTTTTCATTAATGAAGTATGACGCTGCGCTGTCCCTATTTGTGATTGGTCAAATGTTGCTAACCCCGCCCCTTTCACGTGAACGCGCTCTCAGCTGGAGAGAGAAACCCCATGGGAGCCTGCCTGCAGGCAGCAGTCTCAGGACACCTACACTCTGAGGACACCTCCACTCTCAGGACAGGAAGTGCACGCTAAGAATTCCAAAATAGAATCGCCACTATCAGTACAGCGCCACTTTCCAAACAGGAAATGCACGCAAATACAAAATAAAATCGTATTGTGACACTTATTATATACATATGTATGTATATATCTACATATATAGATATATACGGACACCTTGTATTGTAGTTACTATCAGTACAGCCGCAGCGCCACTTTCCGAACAGGAAATGCACGCAAATACAAAATAAAATCGTACTGCCACTTATTATATACATATGTACTGTATATATAGATATATATAAAAATAGGGACACCTTGTATTGTTTACTCTCAGTACAACGCCACTTTCCGAACAGGAAATGCACGCTAATACAACATAAAATCGCACTGACACTTATTATCTATATACAGTTGCAAGAAAAAGTACAGTATGTGAACCCTTTGGAACTACCTGGATCTCTGCATAAATTGGTCATAAAATGTGTTCTGATCTTCATCTAAGTCACAACAATAGACAAACACAGTCTGCTTAAGCTAAAACCACACAAACAATTATATGTTTTTATGTTTTTATTGAACACACCATGTAAACATTCAAAGTGCAGGGTGGAAAAAGTATGTGAACCCTTGGATTTAATAACTGGTTGACCCTCCTTTGGCAGCAATAACCTCAACCAAACGTTTCCTATAGTTGCATATCAGACCTGCACAACGGTCAGGAGGAATTTTGGACCATTCCTCTTTACAAAACTGTTTCAGTTCAGCAATATTCTTGGGATGTCTGGTGTGAATCGCTCTCTTGAGGTCACGCCACAGCATCTCAATTGGGTTGAGGTCAGGACTCTGACTGGGCCACTCCAGAAGGCGTATTTTCTTCTGTTGAAGCCATTCTGTTGTTGATTTACTTCTGTGCTTTGGGTCGTTGTCCTGTTGCATCACCCATCTTCTGTTGAGCTTCAATTGGTGGACAGATGGCCTTAAGTTCTCCAGCAAAATGTCTTGATAAACTTGAGAATTCATTTTTCCGTCGATGATGGCAATCTGTCCAAGCTCTGAGGCAGCAAAGCAGCCCCAAACCATGATGCTCCCTCCACCATACTTCTCAGTTGGGATGAGGTTTTGATGTTGGTGTGCTGTGCCTTTTTTTCTCCACACATAGCGTTGTGTGTTCCTTCCAGGAGACACCTGAGAAGGGCTGTGTCCCCGGTAGAAACCGGGTGAAATAGCCAAAACCTCCGTGATGAGTCTCCATTGTGATTTGAAAACTTCCATCAAACGAGTCTTTCGGGGGCCGGGGAAAAAACGTGTTCTTCAGAATCGTCACTTCCTGTACTGACAGTGCAGGTGTCCTGAGAGTGTTAGGGTTAGTTTAGATAACTCAAACATATCCAGGGTATGTTGAACTGGCTTCGTAGTACAGGGCACAGGTGGCTGCATAGCAGCGCTAATGTCAAAGACACAAACATTATACATTATATTTTTATTTTACCAGGATGCAGTGACACAAATATTTGGGAAGGCTTAGCCTTCCCTAGCCTACAGTACCCGCCGCCCTTGACTGACTTGTACCTGGAATGTAAACAGAGACTTACAGTAAGGCTACTTAGAAGATGATACTATTGAAGGGCTAGTCGTTATGTGTCAACAGATATAATAGGCGCCTACCTGTATGATAGAAAGAAAGAAGAGTTGGATAAATAGATAAGCTCATGATTGCTTCAGTGCTGAAATGTACTGTTTATTTGGTTTACTGTTGTTAGGCTACATCAGTACAACCTAGCAATATCCAATGCAAATACTGTCTAATGTCACGCCACAACAGGATAGATAGATAGATAGATAGATAGATTGTCCTTTAGGTACCTAGTTATTGTGACGTATGACATTTTTAAACTTACCCTGACAACGGATTTCAAATGATCTCATATGGTCTTGTTTGTCCTCTATGTTTTTAATGTCCTTTCCCCTCCTCAGCCTGATAAATGCTGACTTCTGTGTGGCGAGCTGCCTGATCGCCTACGGGGCGGTGCTCGGCAAAGCCAGTGCAGTCCAGCTAATGGTCATGACTCTGTTTGGGATCACATTGTTTGCTGTGGAGGAACATATTATCATACATATCATACATGTAAGTTAAAAAAGTAATTTGTTTTTGTTTTGATGTCATTCAGCAAGAGATACCATCTAATCGTGTAACATGTTTATTATGGCTAATCTGCCCTCTCACACTGAAACTGGGCAAACGCCTGAATCCTGTGACTCACAGTTGTCTTGTGTGCTAATGCTATGTAACTTATTCCACCCACCCATTATTTCTAATTTGATCTTTTATGAAGGCCAAAGATGCAGGAGGCTCCATGGTGATCCACACCTTTGGAGCTTATTATGGTCTTTCCATCTCGTGGATGCTCTATCGGCCAAACCTGAACCAGAGCAGTCGTCTGCAGTGCTCCGTCTACCAATCAGATGTCTTTGCCATGATTGGTGGGCATATTTAATTACATACTCGTTCTTTTTTTTTCTTCACAATACTTACCACTATTTTGGATGTCCTGTGGATCTGCTGTCTTTTTAAGGTTAACCCTGCTTTATGTGTAGGCACCCTCTTCCTGTGGATGTTCTGGCCCAGCTTCAACTCGGCCATCACGGACCACGGGGACGGGCAGCACCGAGCAGTCATCAACACCTACCTGGCTCTGGCCTCAACCGTGCTCACTACTGTGGCCGTGTCCAGCCTTTTCCAGAAGCATGGGAAACTAGACATGGTGACGATCAGCACTGTTTTTATGTCAGTCACAGCACTTAAAGGTCCCATGTAATGCATTTCTGCCCCAGAACGCTTCGTTGGAGATTTCTCTTTTTCCGTTGTTTTCTTCCTGGGTAGTGACGTGCCCATACCCAAATGGACCCATTGGAGCAATCCGTGGAGCTCCTCACACACACACACTTTCTCAGCGGCGAAACTGTGACGCGCTGGGGGGTGCTAATGGAGCCTCGCAGCTGCGAAACTGTGGCGCGCTTACACTGTAGGTGCACCGTGTTTAGGGGTGCGGGTGCTAGTGGAGCCGCGCAGATGGGGGTGCTGCAGCCCCATCAGCACACCCCCCCTTTTCCCTCGTCCATTCACGATGTCTCGCTGTCAAGCTGGAAATGAACCCAGCTCACACTGTCCACTCCTCGCAGCAGCGAGCCACGCAACGTCCCGCCAACACGGCACCCAGACCCCACGCAGCATTCTCATCTGTTTGTCATTACTGGTGTCATTTTCTGATTGCTAACGCCATTGTAACACACAATCACTGATGTTCCGCTGTAACGGTGGTAGACTCATCAGAACAGAGTTGTCAAGCTGACCAATTAGAGCACAGTGGGCTCACAGCGAGGGCGGGG